GGGTGGGGCCGGGCAGCCCCCGCGGGGCTGCCCCGTCCCGCCCGCGGGGGGCCGAAGATGCGGCGGTACCTGCCGGTGGCCCGGCAGCACTTCCTGGCGGCGCTGGCCGGCACCAGCGTGGTGGTGAAGTCGCTGAGCGCCGCCGTGGTGCTGCTGTACCTGCTCTCCTTCGGGCTGGACACGGCCTACGGGCTGGGGGTGACGCCCGGTTACCTCCTGCCCCCCAACTTCTGGGTGTGGACGCTGCTGACGCACGGGCTGGTGGAGGAGCGCGTCTGGGGGCTGGCGGCCAGCCTGGCCACGCTGGGGGCGGCCGGGCGCCTGCTGGAGCCCCTCTGGGGCGCGCTGGAGCTCCTCGTCTTCTTCGCCGTGGTGAACATCTCCGTGGGGCTCCTGGCGGCCCTCGCCTACTTCCTCACCTATGTGGCCTCCTTCCACCTCGACTCTCTGTTCGCCGTCCGCATCCACGGCGGGCTGGGCTTCCTCGGAGGGGTCTTGGTGGCCCTCAAGCAGACGATGGGGGACAGCACGGTACTGAAGGTGCCTCAGGTCAGAATGAAGGCTGTCCCCATGCTCCTGCTCCTCCTCCTGGCTCTGCTGCGGCTCGCTGCCCTCGTCGAGAGCAATGTACTAGCCTCGTACGGTTTCGGGCTCCTCTCCAGCTGGGTCTATCTCCGCTTCTACCAGCGGCACAGTAGAGGCCGCGGAGACATGAGCGACCACTTCGCCTTTGCCACTTTCTTCCCCGAGATCCTGCAGCCCGTGGTGGGTCTGGTGGCCAACCTGGTGCACAGCGTGCTGGTGAAGGTGCGGTTGTGCCGTAAGACCGTCAAGCGCTACGACGTGGGTGCCCCGTCCTCCATCACCATCAGCCTGCCGGGGACAGACCCCCAGGACGCCGAGAGGAGAAGGTACCCCCTGGCCTCCCTGGGGATCGTGTTTAGGGACAGCGAGGGCATGGCTTAAAATGCAAACGAGGAGGAGGGGGGAGATTTAGGTGCAGGGGCTCAGGAGGGGCCTTCTTCATGTGGTCTGCTGGGGGCTGCCCTGCCACGGAGGTGGTAAGGATCATTTCAGGGAACTGGTGGGATATTGTCCTGCTCTTCCAGACGTGGGGCAGCAATGGAAAGGCAGAGGAGATCCTGGAAAAAGGGCATACAGGGTTAGGGGTCCCTGCAGAAGAAAGGGGGACAGCCGGGTGTGGCAACAACCCCTGCTCATGGCAGCCTTCCACCTGTTCACCCTGGCCCAGGGGAGGGCAGTGAGTCAGCCCCACACCCCAGCCCTCCAGCACTGGCCTTCCTGACTTCTGGCAGGAGGGTTTGGACAGGGTGCTGGCACTCCCTTTTTCCTGCCCTGCTTTATGCCTTTATTCCCCATTCCTGGAGCTCCCCTTGCTGACAGCCTCCAGTTGCACCACGCAGCATGAAAGCTCTGTGTGAGTAGTCTTGGAGCCGGAGTGGATTTCTGTGGAACAGTCCTAGGTGCTCCAGGTCTTCCCCAGCACTACCGAATCCACCCTTTCCTGCTGGGAAGAAGCCAGGGAGTGACTTGTACAGTGCCCCATGGGGCAGAGCTGTTGACCCGCGGTTAACCTGCCCACGTGCCCTTGTCCTGCAGGCAGCTGGCCCTGAAGGCTTTGAACGAGCGGCTGAAGCGAGTGGAGGACCAATCAGCCTGGCCCAGCATGGAGGATGATGAGGAGGAGGCGGCAGCAGCAGCAGCGAAAGCCGACAGCCCGCTGCTGCCCGACCCCAGCGCAGCTGGGAAGAGCCCCGGCCAGGAGTCCAACCTCATCAGCTTCCAGGACGCCCCGGCCCAGCTGTGACCGGCCCCCTTCCCGCCCTGTCTCCGTTGGAGAGCTGCTAATCCCCCTCGTGTCCCCCACGGCCGGGAGCAGGGACTCCTCCCGGCACAGACAGGGGGATACCTCATTCCAACGCTTCGCTGCTGCTCACGGCCAGCACCGGGCACCCGGGACAGGGACACTGCCACCACCGTGAGGACAGGAATTCCTGGAGCCACTCCCCTCAGTGCAGGACAGGCCGTGGAGTCGGTGCAGGCAGTGGGGGCTGTTCTGGGAAAGGGACACGGGGCTGATCCTTGCCCCGAGCTGCTGTGCTGGCCCTTGTGGGATCGAAGTCAGCTTCTCCTTTGTGCCAGGGCTCGGCCAGAGCACTCAACACGTATTTTCTCCTTTCTGAAGGTAGTTTTGTCCCTAACTGAGGCAGAGGGAAGGCTGGTGGGTTTCTTTTCTGAATGCCTTTCCTGTGGGGAGCCTCCTCTCGCCCCAGCAGGAGCTTGCCAGGACCGGTGAGAAGTTTGTTGGGTGGGAGGGGACAGGACACTGGGCAGGAAGAGGCCACCCAGCCCCTCATGGTGGTGCCCCAGCACTGCCAGCTCTGGTGGGGATTCTCTCCTTCCTCTCCTGCCCCCTCCCGCTGCGAAGGGCTGCTGCCCTTGGCTGCTCCTCGGCTAATCCGTTTGCCAGATTAAACTAGAAGCTGGAATTAATTTTACAGTGGGGCTCTAGCTGCTTCCTCTGGCAGCAGGTTTTCTTTCCTGCAGGTAGAATATGGGCTCTCCCTTTCTTTTCCTTCCCTCCGTGTTGATAGGGTTTTTTTTCCTTGGAGAGGATGCTCCCTGCGACAGCCTCCACAGCTCCTGATCCAGTGGGCAATTCCCAGCCAGGGATGTGGATCAGCAGTGTCATGATTATTTTTTTAAAGGACCACACGAGAAGGTTTTGTCAAATGGGAAGAACACAGACATTTGGGTATCAATAAAGAGTTCTTTGAAAGTGTTGGTTCCTGCAGCAGAGCATGGGCAGGGTGGGGGGCACAGCCCAGAGCAGCCCCCGGGGGCTCTTGTCAGAAGGCTGGGGGGTTTCTTCCCAGGTGCTCCCAGCAGGAGATGGGAAATCTGCACCCCGAAAGTCATCCCGCCCAAGGAGTAAAGAGAAGTTGTTGCACTCTAGCTGCCTGAAATTTTTATTGAATAAAAGCTCTGGATACAGAGGAATTTTTCAGCCTGGGAGCTGCTCCCAGCTCTCCAGCCCTGCCGGGAGCAGGAAGCGTGCTGGAAGGCTGTTGTGCCAGCAAGGAGGTTTCTTCCTGCCTTCCCAAGGGTTCATCGCCCATGTCTGCACCTCCCCCCCCCGCGCTCACGCTGTTCCCTACGAATTGCTGACTGCAGGTTCACTGCCCGGCTCAGTAATTTGCTCTGTAAACTGACCCCACCCTACCAGGCCGAGCCCAGCCCACGGAGGAGGGGTTTGTGCGTGGCAGTGGGTGCCCCGACCCAGGGCTGTGGGGCAGAGCTGCCTGCTCTGATCCCAGGGAATGCCCGTGCCATGGGGACACACTGCTGCTGTACCGTTGCTCAGGTGCCACCACCCTGCCCCAGCCCTGCCAGGGCTGAAGCTACAACCGTGTCCTGTGCTTTCCTGGCCAAGCTGCCCTCATGGGGCAGAGGCAGCGTGGTGCCTGCTGCAGCCTCCTGGGAGAGAAGGGCCTCCCTGCCCTCCTCACCAGGATGTCTCCTGTCCTGCCCACTCCAGCCCTGCGTGGGAAGGGAAAGGAGCAGGAATCCTGAGTGAGCCCTCCATTTCCCAGCACTGAGCACCAAGCTGCTGGAGGGACCAGCAGCTTTACCTGTGCTGGGGAACTTCCCCACTGAGGCAGGGGTGAGGTGTCAGACACATCGCAGCTGCTCCCCAGGGACAAGACACTATGGACAATCCAGGACTAATGAAAGACAAGTAGGTAGAAACAAAGTTCCAAGGAGACCCTGTGCGAGCAGGGGGGCTGCAAGGGGAGACCCAGCTCGCTCTGGGAAGTTCAGGTCAGCACCAAGCCCTCAGTGCTGGCTCCGCTTGCGGTACAGGTACGCATTGCTCACCTGGTTCATGATAACCAGGCTGGTGACGAGGGGACACAGCATGGCGAGGTACCACGAGGCACCGGTCACCGTGGTGGTGAACCAGAGGGAGCACATGCCCAACATCAGGCTGGCACAGCCCAGCAGGTAGCCCACCAGCCCTGAGGTTGCGTGGTACAGCTTCAGCTTGGCCAGCGTCCAGTTCTTCATCAGCTTGGGGTAAAGCAGGAGCACGCCCCCGGCGCACTGCCCGCCGGCGTACAGCACGGCCAGCAGCCCCGTCAGCCCGTGCCAGGTGACAAAGTGGCCTTTGCCGTTCAGGTGCTTGTTGTAGGTAATGATTCCCAGCCCCAGGAGCGCGCAGAGCAGGGCGAGCAGCTGCAGGGCCCAGTGCGCCCGCACTCGGACCTTGCGGGAGAAGGAGCGCAGCAGCGAGGTCTCCGGGGAGAAGATCAGCAGCGCTTCCGTCATCAGGAACGAGAACTGCGGGGCAGAGGGCAGCGAGATTGGCACCGGCCAAACGCCCCTGCGCCGTGGCTCCCGGGGCTCGGGCTCCCACCGCCCGGGGCTCCCGGGGCTCCCGGGGCTCGGCTCCCACCGCCCGGGGCTCCGCCAGCATGGCCCCTGCCTGTCCCACGGCAGCGGGGCGGTGACGGGGGCGGTGGCACTTACCGCGAGGGCCATGAGCAACGGGTGCCAGGAGAAGAGACCTGGAAGGGAAGCGCAGGGTGAGGTGAGCTGAGACATCCGGCCCTCCCAGCGCCCCCAGCCCCTCCGGCACTCACTGGATCCGGGCCGCGCCAGCACGGCCACAGCGGCGGGGAATCCCAGCGCCACGAGGTGCGCAGCGGCGCCGGCGGCCACGCGCAGCGAGCGATACAGGCGGGACTCGGTCTCGGCCGTCAGGGCCATGTTGGCCGGCCGGGCGGAACCGCCGCCGCCGACATGGCCGGGCCGCGGCGCGGGCTCCGATTGGCTGAGGTGGGCTGTCAATCAGCACTAAGGCCCGCCCTCTCCGCGCTGCACTGCCTCTGAGTGGCGGGAAGTGCTGTCGCTCAATATATGAGATCCCGCCCCCGCCGCGCTGCCGTGTGATTCAGCGGGAGCGACGCTACGGTGGCCGGCGGGGCTGGGCTACGGGCTGTGGGCAGCTCCGCGTCCCGCCATGGGTGGCCGCATCGAGTGCGTGTTCTTCAGCGAGTTCCACCCCACCCTGGGGCCCAAAATCACCTACCAGGTGCGGGGCGAGCGGCCCGGGACCCGCAGCGCCTGCCCGCGGCGGGGTGGGTCTGGGACTGGGCCGTGGCAGCGCCCATGGAGGGGAAGGGGACACGGGGTGGTGGTGGGTGCTCCCCGGAGAGCGACGGGGCTCGGCTGGAACGGAGCCTCCTGTGCCGCCGCAGGTCCCCGAGGACTTCATCTCCCGGGAGCTGTTTGATACCATCCAGGTGTATGTCATCACGAAGCCCGAGCTGCAGAACAAGCTGATCACCGTGTGAGTGCGGGCAGAGCTCCGGGCCTGCCCCGGGCAGCCGCTGTCCCGCCGGGCTCGGTGCGGAGCACAGCTCGGTGCTGTGGCAGTGCCAGCGCGCTGGGCTCCTGGCCCCGTGGCCAGCAGGGTCACTGCGGTGCCCCCAGGTACCCGTGCAGAGGGTGGGTGGTCACATTTTGGAGGTGGCTGGTGCTGCATCTGCTGCTCTGCCAGCCTTAAATCCGAGAAAGTCAGACCAGTCAGGAGAGCTGTGCTGGTTTCAAAAGAAGTCTGTTTCCTTTTCTGAGGTCTGACTCTTTACCCCCCCACCCTCCTTCTTCAAGTCTGTGATTTGCACTCTGAGCTTGTAGGGCTTAGACATCATTTATTCCTGCAATATAAAGAAGCCCCTACCTCCAGAGTCGACTGGGAACCATCCTTGTGGGGGACTTGAGCCTTCCTGAGGGTGTAGATGCAGGTCACAGGTGTCTCCCCACAGGACGGCCATGGAGAAGAAGCTGATCGGCTGCCCTGTGTGCATCGAGCACAAGAAGTACAGCCGGAATGCTCTGCTCTTCAACCTGGGCTTTGTGTGCGACGCCAGAGCCAAGGCCTGCGCGCTGGAGCCCATTGTGAAGAAGCTGGCTGGCTACCTCACCACCCTCGAGGTGAGGCTGCCTCCTGATCCACCCCACAGAGCGTGGGCACCTCAGTAGTGTCCTGGAGCATGTTGGGGGCCACTGGGCACTGCTGGGACAGGGGCTGGTTTTACAGTGAGGAGGGGATTGTGCTGGTTTCCTACAGATCACTTCAGTTTTAAAGGAGAACAGGATCTGGGCTCCTGTAGCCAGTAATCCAGTGGGGAGGTGCTGACTTGACTGTCTTCTCTCTTCAGCTGGAAAGTGGATTCATCTCCAATGAGGAGAGTAAACAGAAGCTGGTTCCCATCATGACCATCCTGCTGGAGGAGCTGAATGCCAAAGGGAAGTGCACACTGCCCATAGGTATGGCCAGGACAGTGCAGTGCTGGGAGACAGCTGGGCCATTCCCTGCCCAGGCTGGCTCTGTCTGTGCTGTTTCCAGCAGCTCCCTGCCTGTCTTTGCTTGGAGGTGGGGGTGCCTGAGCCTGTCTTGCCCTGCCTGGCTCCAAAGGATGGGTGGCATGGGGTTATGGGCTGCAAACACCTTGTTCTGTGTGGCATTGTGGTGTCCTGGGATTGATGGTTGCCAGCTCCTGAGGGAGAACTGTTTTCCATGGAGATTGAGCCTTCCCCTTTTCCTGGGCAGATGAGTCAAACACCATCCACCTGAAGGTGATTGAGCAGCGCCCAGACCCCCCCATCGTGCAGGAGTACGATGTCCCTGTCTTCACCCAAGACAAGGATGACTTCTTCAACTCCCAGTGGGATCTCACCACACAGCAGGTCTGTGTGCTTGACGCTTTGAAGGGGATCTGTTTCCAGACCATCGGGGGAGTTGGGCTGTTCTGGAGATAACCACGTTAATGAGCACGGTTTGGTGCTGCTCTCATGTTGTGCTTGGGCCTGTGAGCAGATCATTCACCAGCACAAGGTTAAAGGGCCCTTGAAGGTGGAGCCTGCCCATCCCAGGTGCTCCCAGATGCAGAGGAGCTGCATGGGCTTCAGGGTGGTGCCTCACTGCTCTCTGCCCTTTTAACTCTTGCCTCCTGCCCTCCCAGATCCTGCCCTACATTGATGGATTTCGGCACGTCCAGAAGATTTCGGCAGAAGCCGATGTGGAGCTGAACTTGGTGCGCATCGCTGTGCAGAACCTGCTGTGAGTGCCTGGAGGGGCTGGACAGCCCGAGGAGGGGGGTGGGTGCTGCCAGAGAGTGCCTCTTACCTTTTCCTGTCCATCTGCAGGTACTACGGGGTTGTCACACTTGTCTCCATACTCCAGGTGGGTCAAGCCACAGTGCCTGGGGCTGTGAGCAGGATTTGGGCAGTGGCTGTGCCATCAGGGTGGCTGTGGAGGGGGAACAGCAGGCTTGGAGTGGGCCCGGCCTGTCTCTCGGAGCCACAGCTGAGCAGAGCTGGTTTTCCATCACCCTCCAGTACTCCAATGTCTACTGCACCACGCCAAAGGTCCAGGACCTAGTGGATGACAAGTGCCTTCAGGAAGAGTGTCTGTCCTATGTCACCAAACAAGGTACAATGACCCTGCCTGGGGATGCTGGCCCAGGCAGGGGGACAGGGCAGCTGACTGGTGACTTGTCCTTGCAGGGCACAAACGAGCCAGCCTCAGGGACGTCTTCCAGCTGTATTGTGGGCTGAGCCCTGGCACCACCGTGCGAGACCTCATCTCCCGCTACACCCTGCAGCTCCAGAGGGTGGATGAGAGGTCAGAGCCCTCCTGATCGGTCCCTAAAGGCTATGGTGACGCTAGGGGTGGCAGAGAGAGTGAGCAGGAAGTACTCAACCCCTGTGTCTGTAGTGTAGGAAACATGACGCAGTGGTGGGGCACATGTAACAGATGGAACTGTGGGGAGCTGGGCCATTTGGCACCTGAGGATTGTGTCCCCAGTCTCTTCCCTCCTCATCCCCAGGAGACTTATCCAGTTTGGTTTGATGAAGGGCCTTATCCGGCGGCTCCAGAAATACCCAGTCAAGGTGGCCCGGGACGAGCGGAGCCACCCAGCCCGGCTGTACACGGGCTGCCACAGCTACGACGAGATCTGCTGCAAGACCGGTACGGACCCATAGGATCCATAGGATCCCCTGCTCTGTGTGGGCCCCAGGGCTGATGGCAGACTCGGGAATGTCTGCCTGCCCACAGCTGTGCACTGGTACTGGATTCTCACCCCTCTGGGAGGCTTCAGACTGCGGGGAGGGGACTCTGTGGAGGGTACTGTGGGCCAGGCTCTTCTCCATGCCAGGCTGCCAAGCCCATGCTGCCAGGGGCAGGGCTTGGGGACTCTTCCCAGTCCTGTGACACCGCTGCCAGGCACCCCACTCACACCCTGTTAACACCCCGCTCTCTTACTCCCCAGGCATGAGTTACAAGGAGCTGGATGAGCGCCTGGAGAACGACCCCAACATCATCGTGTGCTGGAAGTGACGCAGCGATGGCCCTCATTAGAGCTGTGTCCCCCTGCGTCCCCCGTTGTCCCCCGCCCCGGTGTCCCCGGAGCGCCCCGCTGGCTGCGGCCACTCCTCCGCGCCGCCAGGGGGCGCCAGAGGCCGCCCCTCGCCGCTGCTGCAGCCGGCCCGCAGCGAGTCCTCCGCGCCGCCAGGGGGCGGTAGCGGCGGCGCCGTTGCCACAGCGACACGGACGCCATGGCCGCCGTGCCCGAGCCGCTGCCGCCCGCCGAGGCCGAGGCGCTTGTGCGGGCCCTGCAGGGCACCGAGCTGCGGGACATCGGCGGGCAGGGGTGCGGGGACACGGCGATGGGGTGTCTGGGGTGGGGAGAACATGAAAGAGGCTTTAAGTTTGGGGGTGTCCCCTTCGGGGTTGTTGGAGGACAGGAGGGGACCCAGTTCTGGGGCCTTCCCAGGGTTTACGGTGGGCGTAAGGAGGGGTCCTCAGAAGGTTTAGGGTAGAGAGGAGTCCTGGTTTTGAAGTTACCCCACAGGGTCGGGGTGGGGTGAGAGAAGGGGCTGCAATTCTGGAGTGTTCCTGGAAGGACTGGGAGAGATTGGAGGGCCCAGGGTGAGGAAGGGTCCCAGATCTGAGGGTCTGTGAGGGTAGGGGTGATGGAGAGGCTCCCCCTGGTTCTGTGGTGTCCCCAGCGAGGGTGTTGCTGAGGGCAGGGCTGCCCCAGTGGAGCTGTGGCCCCAGGCTCCGAGCACAGTGTGGGTTTGGGGGTTACAGGGCAGGTTTCCCTGCACGAGGGGCCCTTGCCGAGCCTGTGGCCAGAGGTCTGTGGCACTGATGTCGTCGCTGGCTGCCCCACAGATGGCTTCGGCAGCACGAGTATGTGGAGAAGCTGAACATGCACGGCATCCTGAGTGCCTCAGCAGGCCAGGAGCAGCTCCTCACCGAGCTGCTGGTCACCCATGCCAAGGTGAGCCTCCCTGGGTGCAGCAGTGATCCCCTCGCTGGGCCTTCAGCCTCCACCTGGGCTTGTCCTGTGGGCAATGTGCAATTTTGGAATAAAATGTCGAAGAATCTGTTGTGTCTCTGGAAAGGATGTTTGACTGGTGGTGTGCCAGTTTTGTTTTTTTAAAAAAATTAAAGGTCAGGCTGTGGTATTTCTACTTGCTGGTGTCTGGTTTCTCTCTTGGAGGTTGATTTTGCCTTCTTCATCCACCGGCCCCTCTGGCTGCAGATCTCTGTTGTGTGTCTGAGGTGTCCCAGCCCCAGCGTGTGAGATTGCCTGGACCTGTGCAGCTCCTTGGGGTCACCTTCTATCTCTGCAGCCCCAGGAGGTCTGCCCTGTTGTGAGAAGCTGCTTGCTTCTGAGCTGGAAGAATACAGAGTGCTCCCCAAGATCACCCTCCTCCCTGGGCGACTCCAGTGTGGCTGACCATTAGCAACAAACTGGTTCTCCCTGCAGCACTGTCCTGAAAGGCTTCACTTCCCCATCCCTTCCCTGTCTAGATTCCTGTTCTCATTGGGGAGCTGATCTCTGTGGAGATCTGGAAGCACAAGATCTTTCCCGTGCTGTGCCGGCTGGAGGACTTCAAGCCGAGAAGCACCTTCCCCATCTACGTGGTGGTGAGTAGAGGGGATGGTGGGAAAGAGCCTGCAGACGGGTCAGGCACAGCTGTGCTTGAAAATGAATGTCACCCTGAAGGTCTCAGAGGTGAGGTTTTGCATCTCACCAGGCTGAGGTGGGCAGTGGGACACAGTGGGAGGTGCCTGGTTTCCCAAAGCCTTTGCAAGCCCATGCCCTTGCCCCCAGGAGGGGCAGGGTCTCACTCCCAGGAAAGCTTGGCTTTGTGGAGAGCTGTCCCCTCTCTCATCCTGCACAGGGGCTTGCAGGAGCTGCTGGGTGGAACAAAAGCCTTTCCTGGAGGCAGCTGTGCTCGTGGCTTGTGGCTCCCAGTGCTGCCCCTGCTCCCAGGCAGTGATACCCCTGGGGTATTTTCCCCCCTCTGAGCACTGTTTTTCTCTAGCCAGAGGCTCTCTAGAGTTATGTGCCTCTGGACTAACAAAAATGTGGCTTTTTCTTGCTGAGTTCCTGGGACCAGTGGTCCCTTGGGCCATTCTTGGCAAGGGAATGATCTCCAGATCTGAGCTTCCTTGCAGAGGGATGCAGCCTTTGACCTAAGGGAAATCTGCGTGAGGTTTGGAAGTTTTAACCCATTTTCAGTCCAAGGTAACACTTTTCAGGGGGCAAGGTGGTGTCTTCCCTGAGCAGCTGATTGCCCCAGGGGAAGTATCCCATAGTTCCCAGTCATGGACAAGGCTGTCTGTCCCAGTCCCAGGGCCTGGGAGAAGCACAGCCATGCAGAGCACTGTCCCAGCTCAGGCACTGCCTCTGTGCTGGTGCCAGAGCCTCCAGCTTGCCCGAGGGCAGTGGTTGTCCTGCCCCTGCAGCACAGGCAGAGCCTTGAAGAGCCCTGCCTGCTGGGAAGTGTGGCTCTCCATTGGCATGTTGGAGTGTCACAGGCATATCAGCATAAATACTAATATGAACTGCCTGAACTGGAGTTGTTTTGAAGGTTGCATCACTTGTATTTTTCTCTTGGACTAGTTTTTGGCCACAACTACATAAGCAGCTTCTCAGAAGAGCCCTTTTCCCTGTCCTAGTGCCCATATTCCTGGTGCTGCTCCACTGTTACCTCACTCTTGCCATTCTCCTCCCACAGCTGCACCACGAAGCCTCCATCATCAACCTCCTGGAGACAGTGTTCTTTTACAAGGTGAGACAGGTTCAGCTTTCCTCAAATGGAAAGCCCCTGGGGGTGGAAGACTGTGGGGACTGACCCTGTGTGAAACCCTTGTGGTTGTGAAGGAGATCTGCGAGTCAGCAGAGGACAACATTCTGGATTTGATTGATTATTGCCACCGCAAGCTGATCCTGCTGGCAGCTCGGAGCACCAAGGCACAAGCAGTGACCTCAGCGGAGCTTCGTGCTGAGCATCTGGCCAGCCCCTCATCCATGCAGGTGAGGAGGAAGTCCTGTAGCTCCCTGGGGACGTGTGTGGTGAAGAATGTGGGCAGCCTGCAGAGGGAGGCACGTGGGAGGCCTTTTCATGGGTTGCACCCCTGGCACCTCCTGCCCACCTCAGAGGGTGTCTGGTGCTTCTCTGTGCCTGTGGCTGCATCCACCTCCCTCTACTCTGCTGCCTGGCTTCTGCCCTCTCTGGTGCCAGTGCCAGCCTGAGGCTGCCTGCAGGACACGCTCAGAGCTCTGCGGTGGGACATGCTGGAGAGTTGATGGGAAAAATATTCAGTAGAGTGGTTTGGCCGTTTGCTGTTGCTCTTGGAAACTGTGTGGATATCTCTCCCTGAAGTTTGGGAAGCCACCCTGGGTCAGGCTGCCACTATTTCCAGCCAGGGTTAACCATGAGAGTTCTTCTAACAATCAGGAATTGTCCTCATGTGCTTCCCCCAGCTTCCTTTATTCTCTGAGCTGGCCTGGGATCGCAGGCCAGCAGCAATGCCAGAGCTTTCCCAGTCAGGTGTTCCCAGGCTGACACACACACACACACACCTTCCCAGAGCAGGAGCTGTCATTGCCTCTGGTGCTTCTCAGCACCTGGAACTGCACATCAGGAGGAGTATCTGGAAGAACAGGGTTAAAGGGAGAGCCTGAACCTCCCCTTGCCTCCATCCTTTGGCTTGTTGCCCAAGCACATACTTCTCTTTCAGAAAAGGGAAGGAAGTGGAGGGATCTGGAGCACAATAGGGATGTTTTCCAGGAAATGTTTTCCCAGCTGGGGAGGGGAAGGGGTGTCTCTGTTACTGCTTTGACACGAACTTAAAATCCCAGACCTTTTCTAGCCAATAGGATTCTCAAAAGCACTCATCTCCCAGGGAGCCTGGTTTCCTCTGATTCATTCCAGCCTCTCCTGGCTCTGTGTACAATAACCCCTGTGAAAAAGCTGTTCCTGCCATCTCCTGTGTTGTGGAGCCTGTTGTCCTTCGGAACTGCGTACAGTGGTAATCCCCGTTCTGTTGTCCCCTTGAAGAACAGGCAAAAGATAATCCCTGTTTCAAGGCAGCAGAGATGAGGTCTGGATAAAAGGAGGAGCTGTAGGATAAACCTCACTAGGGCAGTTTGGAGAGGGAGGGGGCAGGGAAGAGCCCACAAGACTCACTTACTTGTGGGGCACCAGCACAGGGAGCACAGAGCTGCTTACCACAGGAATCTGGAAGGCAACTGTTGCAGTGGCTCTTTGGAGAAATACAGGAAGCTGAGGTCAGTGCTCTGCACACCAAATCTGAGCTGCATCTGGGACTGAAGAGAAGCTCTGCTTGAGCCAGAGAGAAGGACTTGGCACCTCTCAGAATGGCCCTCCCCGTGGTCTCGAAAGAGGCTGAGTCAGAGGGTGGTCAGGCTGTCATGGGGGATGAGTGGAGTGTCTGTGCTGAGATGGGAAGGAGGCTGGGTGGCTGGAGAGCATGGCACAGCTGTGGGCTGGAATAACCACAGGCAGATATTCTAGTTGGCTGATCCCAAGCTGGAGGGAAGAGGCAGATCCAGGAGGGGTGGACACAGGACTGCAGCTGCACCAGGGCCAAGTTTCTCCCTCCTCCTCCTCTAGTTCCTCTGCTGATTGTGCAGCTCCCCCCCTCCTTCAACCCTCTCAGGTCTCCACAGGGCCACGGATCACACGATAGTCCCGGAAAGGGAGAGAGGCAAAATTTGGGACCATGCTCTTTCAGGGGGTGATCTTGTACAGGAGCACTGCAGCCAGTAGCTACCCACAACCTGTTAGAGGCAGGGACATGAAGGAAGAGCAGCTGCGGGCTGCAAGCACTTCTGTGGCTGCACTGGCAAACAGGCAGTGCTGGCACAGTTGAGAGAAGAAACTATTTTTCAAGGCTCTGTTTTCCTACCCAGACTGTGGTTACCACTGCAGTCAACAGCCTGCCTCTCTGTAGCTCCTGGGAAATGAGGCCTGAAATCCCAAGGCAGATCCTGTCCCTCCACAGGAGCTGCAGAAGCAGGCAGAGATGATGGAGTTTGAGATTTCCCTGAAGGCCCTGTCTGTGCTACGGTTCATCACTGACCAGGTGGACAGGTAGGTGCCCAGGAGCAGCAGAGGATGTGCCCAGCTCTCCAGATGGGATTCCTGTGGGGTCACAGTGGGTGCCTGGACCCCTTTCAGCAGCTGGCTATGTCCCCGGTGGCAGTGGCATTGTGCCCTGAGAGGCAAACACAGCAGCACTCCACCCTGCTCCATGGTACTTCTGGGAACTCAGATCATTGTTTCTTTCCTGCCTCTCCCAGCTGCCTCAGGGAGCATTGTAGATACAAATTCTGGCATTAATCTGAGTGCCTTTTCTCCCTTTTGTCATATCTCCAGTCTGCCCCTGGGTGCACTGACACGGATGCTGAACACCCACAACCTGCCCTGCCTTCTTGTTGAGCTGGTGGAGCATTGCCCCTGGAGCTGCTGGGAAGCAGGTATGGATCATATCCCATGGTCTCTGGGGCACCATGGTGGTGTGCTGGGATGTGCATCCAGGGAGGGATCTGCTGTATGAGCCTTTGCAGAGCTGTTCCCCCTTTATCCTCCCCTCCAGCTCCTCAGTGCTCCCTGCCTGAAGCTGTTCAGCTCAGAGCAGCTGCAGCACAGCTGGGCTGGGGGCCCAGCAGTGCTCCCAAAAGCTGATCCTCACACGGGGTTCTCTTCTGAGTGATGACAGCCAGCACTGGAGTGTAGCACCTCTGCCAGCCCCACGTGCTCCTCTGAGGAGTCTTCTGGACACAGAAAGACCAGAGTGCCTGTCCCAGCTTCTCTGCACCTTTTGGGGCAGCACTCACTAGAGCCAGACATGGTCTCTCCCAGGCAGTAAACATTGCCCTGATTCTGCTGCTGGTCCCTGAGCTTCACTCTTGCCAAAGGCCCAGGATCAGGCTGTGCCCATTGTCCCCTACCTCTTCAGCCAGCCAGGACCCCCCCAGCCTCCCACTGCCTGCCCTGTGGTGGGGCACAGCCTGGGGCGTGGGAGCCTGCGCTGCCCCAGCCCTGCACCGGGGGTCACAGCACGGGCAGAGCAGGAAGAGCTCTGGGAAGCACGTGGCTGTGCCTGCCGAGAGCAGCCCAGCTGGATGCAGGAGCTTTCCTCCTTCCTCCAGCCATGAAACACATCCCTTCTCCCTGCCTGTGTGCTTGGGGTGTGAGAAGGAGCTTTGATCCAGGGCCCTGAGGGAGGGACTGGAAAGAGACAAGCACAAAGGCATTTCCAGGCTGTGCAGATGCAGGGTCACATCCTGCTCCATCCCCCAGAGCCACACAGTAGCTGTTGGAGCTGTCATATCTGTTATATTCATGCTGCTTCTGTCTTTGCCTGGCAGAGGAAGCTCAAGAAGAGTGGCCATACGTACCCCAAGATGGGTCTCTCCAGCCACTCTGTTGTTGCAGCATGGGCTACCCCACTTCCCACCAGTGTTCTATGTTGCCTACAACAGTTCTAGACTCCTGGCCAAGTATAAAAGGAGATGTCTCGGGGATCTTTCTGTTCCTGCCACAGCACTATTGGTTTAAGACATGTCCTTTCTGCTTTTCATGGTCTAATATTTTGCCTCAGTACCAAGTAGGCTGCTATGTGGAGCAAAGAGTGGGGAAACTGAGGCAGGCAGAAGCAGAGGGTGAAGCGAGGCAGTGAGCACAGGCCAGCATCCCCTCTCTGAGCTGTCTTCCCTCAGGGAGCACTTTTGTCTCTCTGGTTCTTCTGTCCCTCAGGCAAGCTCAAGAAGTTTGAGAATGGCACATGGCATGTGGTGCCCCCTGAGGACCAGGTGAAGATGACCAAACTTGATGGGCAGGTGTGGCTTGCCCTGCTCAACCTCCTGCTCAGTCCCGAGTGCCAGCGCAAATACCGCTTCGATGGCTTCAACAGGAGCCAGCTCCTCAAGGTAGGACCCAGCAGCACAAAGGCCCTGGGCCCTCGCCAGCGCTGGGCACCTCCAGATATCTGTCCCCATCTCACTGTGGGCTCCAGGGAGCCAGAGGTGGGAGAACAGCAGATCTGTCACTGTAGCCAGCAGCAGCAAAGCTTGTGTTTGTGCATGCACCTCATGAGACCCCCATTGGTCTCTTGGCCACTGCCCCTCAAATCCCTCTCTTGCCCTGCTGCATCCCCAGCTCTGACTCCCTTGTCCTGACCTCTCTCCGTTCACTCTTCTCTCCCCCTCCATGGCCACAGCTCCGTGCATTCCTGACAGATGTCCTCATTGACCAGCTGCCCAACCTGGTGGAGATGCAGAGATTTCTGAGTTACCTCGCAGTGACAGAGCCTGCTCCCCCCAAAAAGGATCTCATCCTGGAGCAGGTATCCCATGGCTTTTCCTTCACCTCTACAGACACTCTGGTTTAAGCCTTATAGCTCCCTACCCCTTTTTTCTTCCACCAAGCTCAGCTCTGGAATGATGATGCCCTGGAAAAGCAGCCAAGTACCCATTTCAGTTACGCCCTTCCTGCCAGCAAAGCTGCCTGTGGCTGATGTGAGAGCTTTGTCCTGCCCTGCAGTGGCCAAGCAATCACATCTAAAGGCATAAATGCTGGGTTATAAATGGCTCTCCAGGTCACACTGAGCCCCTGGGATGGCAGCTGCATGGGGCAGACACAGGCACTGGATTGTTTTGACAACTAACTCTTCATTTGACTTTTATCATTGCTTTCCTGTTGAATTTTGGACTCCCCAGGGAAGTCCCCTTTTACAGCCTTGGTCTGAGGCTGCTTGGCACACTGTGTACAGAGGGACATCATGATGGAGTCTGGAGTTAAACTGGTCCCAGCTGGTGTCTGGGCCTTTGGGAGTTAGGCCATGAAGGTCTTTAAACAGCCAAGATGTTCTTGGGGGTTTTAATCCATGCAGTGGTAATCTCTGGAGAAAAGTGTTTTTATGTGTTTCTACTGCCTTCTTACGACCTGAGGGGAGAAACTGAGTGTGGGGGCAGATCTGCAGAGTCTGCTGAGGAGAACTGGGAGCACAGAGGCTCTTCCCCACTGCCAGAGGCTCCCACACCGCTTCCTGGAGGAGATGGGTATGTTGAGCAGTGGCTGGCTGGGCTGTCCCCAGTGGGAGCACACTGTCCCCATTTGCAGCTGGCTGTGTGGCCTGGGAGGAGGGTGATGTGCCCTGTCAGAGGTGGCTGTGGCTGAGCTGGGGGCATGGCCCAGGCTGGGAGCTGGAGCTGGGGAAGCTGCAGACTGGCAAGCTGAGGTGTTGGGGCTGGGGATGGCAGCAGGGCGGAGGTGGACATGGATTCATGCCACGTGCCTTGACTGCCAGTGTGTTGGTGGCTCAGTGACAGGCAGCTGCCACACTGGGGACCTGCTCCAGCCCTCACCCAGGCTGCTGCCCTTCTCCATAACTCTGCTTTTGTGCCTGTGCTGCTCCTGCCCCTGCCAAGGGCTGGGGGTGAGCACGGGGAGCCAGCAGGAAGCACAGACATGGGCTCCCTGCTCTGCCCAGAGAGTGGTGAACTCACTCCTTGTTGTTGAGCCAAGCTAAGGAAAGGCCTTTTTCCATTTGGCTGCTCCCAGAGCAGCCTCCTCCCCTTCCTTGGCTATTTTTACTCTGCTGGAGAAGGCAGCGCTGTTTGAAGCAGCATCATACACTCCAGAGCCCGAGTTCAGCGCACTGCTCTTGGCCGGGATGTTTCCTTTTGCGCTGGCCAGCCCTTCCCCGGGTGTTCATCTTCAGGGACGTGACGAGCGGAAAAATCTGCTCAGACAAACGGCTCTGGAGCGTGGGGTTCACGCCGCTGCCACACGCAGGGTGCTGAGGTCCCAGGGCTTTCTTTCAGCAGCCCAGGTCTCAAGGCTGAATACTCATTCCCAACTGGACACCAAAGGTCTTGCCTTGTTTCACCTCAATGCCCACTGGAAAGTGGCTCCTTCCCCTTCCATTCCCCTCCTGCTTCCAAAAGCACACCCTCTGCACCTCTGCCTGCCCTCCTGGAGGGCCATGCTTCTTGTGCCCAGGGCTGGCTGCCTTCTCCCCAAACCACAGCACCTTTTTTAGGCTGTTAGCACCTCTTCCCCCACCCTGCCTCTCCCATCAGGTTCCTGTCATCTGGGACCATATCCTCAAGAAAAACTCGGGGAAGTGGGAGGCCATTGCCAAGCACCAGGTGAAGCATGCCTTCAGCCCCACTGAGGAGGAGTTGAAGCTCCAGGCACGAAGGTGAGGCCCTGGTACGGGTATGCAGAGTGCCCAGGGGGGGCAGGATCCCTATTAGCAGGGCTGGAGCTCAGCACTGAGGGGACAGAGGGGTCTGTGGCCCTGGCTGGAGATGTCCCCTCAGTGGCAGGGTGCAACGGGGACAGCTCACTGCTGGTCAGCAGTTCCCTGTAAGCAGCCTCAGCCCTCTCTGCCTGCACAGGTGGGCACAGACCTACAGCCTGGACATGATGGAGGCTCTGGCCCCCGACAAGCCCCGCTGCAGGGTGTGTGGTGCAGAAGCAGCCAAGCGCTGCTCTCGCTGCCGGAACGAGTGGTACTGCACACGGTAAGGCAGCCCTGCCACCCCCTTGGGGCCCCTGCACCCCCCCCGGGCCCCCCTGCAGCCCCTCAGTGCTCCCCAGAGCACCACAGATCTCACTGCAGAATGCTGTGGGAGGGCCAAGGAAAACCAGTGGTCCCACCACTGCTCAGCACCACTAGCTCTCTGCTGGCCACGTACCTCTCCAAATCTTATTGGGAGGCTGATGTGCTGGGCTGCTGGTGGAGGAGGTGCTGCTGGGGGTTGTGTTGCAGCTGTGTAAGGTGCTGAGCTGCCTCTGCCCACAGTGACAGCAGTGACAGGCTGGGTTTTCCATGGTGACACTGTTTCCCTCCTCTCCACCTTGGTGGAAAGCACCCATGACCCTGTGGGTGCAGGTGACAGGCTAGGATGTGGCAGCTGGGATGGTGGCAGTAAATTAAATCTCTGGTCCTGAACCATCTGGCAAGGTCTGGCGTTAAACCTTCTTAACCCCCAGGACACTAAGGCCACATCCAGCCCCCTCTTGATCTCGTGCTGGGGTGTATCAGCTCTCCCCCAGCTTCCAGAGGGGTATGGTGCTACAGTTTGTCATTCTTGCTGCTCTGCTGCCAAGGATGGATGTGGTTCACTGCCCCTGAGAGCAGCTTCCCCCTCTGCAGGGCATGCCAAGTCCAGCACTGGCAGAAGCACAAGCCTGCCTGCAACCTGATGGCCGAGGTGCTGAGGAGTGTGGATGACCTGTAAGAGAAGTGGTGTCTGGCATCTGGCCTGTGGCTCAGAGAGGCAGAGATTCCTCCAGTGTGCAGCCCACTGCTGAAAAGAAGCTGGAAAAATCCCCTTCTGCCTCCCAGCCCCAGGCAGCACTAGCCAGGGGTCAGCCTCTCCTCTCCCACCACCCCACCATGCTGCCTTCTCCAATAAACCTTCTTGTGCATCCCACAGCTGCTTGGTTTCTGCTTTTTCTCTCCCTAGCTGAAAATGATAAGCTGCTTCCTCCCCTCCTTTCCACACAGTGAGAGGCGTGTGTCCATTTTCCCCTCTGCAAGAAAAGAAATCCCAGAGAAACCAAAAAAGCCTATAAGGTTGTGGTTACGTTACTGCAGCTGGGGAGGGGAGTGAGAAGGCCTCTGTTGTACCATCGTTAGAGCAGCGTGCGGAGCAGAGGATGTGGTTTGCATGAGCATCTTGCTGTGAGAAAGAGTTTCTTGGGTATTTGTCATCTCCCACCTTGCAGGGACGATTCACCCCATTTCCTCTCCCTTGATGTGAAGGGAGCGCAAGGGCTTGGTCCCCTGCCCACCAGCATTACCAGTAAACAGGGTTTACTGGTGGGGGGCCTTGGGGTTCATCCCCACCTCGCACTGGTCAGCAGCTGCTGCCAAAGGGCTGGAGCCTTGGTCTGAGCGCAGCTGCGAAATGTTGGCCATGTCCTTTTCCTGATGGGGGTCCGGACGATCCCTGACACATAAAAACAGGCTTTGCACTCAGGGCTGCTGCTGCAGGAGCCACGACAGCAGGCCGGAAACCACCTCGGTCCAGCTGCAGCCTCGGCTGAGCAGCCCATGCTCGGAGCTCAATAAACTCCTCACCCCAAACCCAGGCTGCACGTCCAGGGCTGCAGCCAGCAGGAGCAGGAACGCTCTCCGTAGATCTCCGTTTGCTTCTCACCCGCTGCCAGAGGTGCTTCCAGCCCCTTCCTCACTGGGAAGCTGAGGCAGGGAGCGCAGTTTGTCCTGCTCCTGCGAGAAGAGGCAGAGAGAGCGGAGCGGCTGTAGCGGGCCCCCCCTTTCCCTGCGGCGGCTCCGGGAACCTCATCCCCGCCTCTAGCCCGCCCCGCCGGGCTCGCCGGGACTGGAGTTGGCGATCGGGAGCCCGGGGCATTACGCCGTTCCCCCTACCTCTCCGCCTCAGTTTCCTCGCGGTGCCCGATCGGGGCTGCCCCTCCCGGTCCCCGCCCCGGCCCCGGCCCGGTGCCGGCCCCCGCCCCGCAGCCGAGCAGCGCCCGCGGCCGCCGGGCCATGGAGCTCATCGAGCTGCGGGATCTGCAGCCCGAGCCGCGGCCGGGCCGGGGCCGCCTGGAACGAGCCAACGCGCTGCGCATCAGCCCTGCCCGCCGGCCCGGCCCCGGGGCGCATCCTGACCCGCGGCTGACGGCGGCACCGGGCGCCGGGCACCGCTTCGAGCCGCGGCGCCGTGGGCTGCACACCTGGTGCGATCTCTGCGGGGACTTCGTCTGGGGCGGCGGCAGGAAGAGCCTCCAGTGCCGCCGTGAGTACCGCGCCGCGCCCCGGGCCCCCGCACCCCCGCCGCCGGGCATCCCGGCACCAGGCACCGGGCACCCTGCCACTCGGCTTCCTCAGCACCGGGCACCCCCAGCGAGCACCGGATATCCCGCCACCGGGCATCCCCACCACCGGGCACCCTCACCATTGGGCACTCCCACCGGGCACCGGGCATCCCACCAACCGGGCACCCCTACAGGGCACCGAGCATCCTGGTAGTGGGCCCCCTCAGTGAGCACCAGCCGTCCCACCACTGGGCACAGGCATCCCGGCACCGGGCACTCCCACCAGGCACCGAACATCCCGGCACTGGGTTGGGTACAGCCATCTCAATAGCAATTACCCCCACCAGGCATCCTGGTGCCAGGCACTTCCATTAAGTTGGACATTGCCATTCTGGGCAGTTGCACCAGGCACTCTGGGCGCCAGGAACTGCCACCAAACGCTGAACACCACATCAGGCACTGGGCAGCCCCTTACAGAGTACCCTCACTTGGCACCACACATCCCTGTACTGGGTACCCACACTGGGCATCCCACCACACAGGGCACTCCAGTAATGGACAGCCACACTGGTGCCCATACTGGGCATCCCAGTACCAGGCACTGAGCATCCCATGCTGGCCAGCCCAGCAGGGAGCACAGGCACAGCGTCAGCCAGGACATGGCACAGTGCTGTGTCCCATGCTGACGCTACCCCTGCGCCCCTGGGCACAGCATGAGCAGACAGCTGATACTGCCACCATGTGCCAGCCCTTGTCCCACCGTGCACCAGTGCCCTGGCATCCAGGCTGTGCACAGCGGTGACACCTCTCCTGCCTCTGTCCCCAGACTGCAGCTTCACCTGCCACTACCGGTGCCGGGCCCTGGTGCGGCTGGACTGCAGTGGCCCCCCAGGTGCTGGTGACGAGGACGATGGCAACGAGCAGGTGTTGGAGAAGGACACCAACGTGGTAGGGCCTGGGCCTGTCTGAGGGAGAGCTTGGGCAGGGGGTGGCAAACCTGTGAGCTCTGCTGGGCTGGGGAGGCTATGCTGGGCTGTGCCATGTGAGGCCATGTCATGGCATGCCAGGCTGTGCCAAGCCTTGCTGGGCTGGGCCGGGCTTAGCTGAACTGTGTGAGGCTGACATGCTGGGCTGTGCTGTGCTATGCCATGCCAGGCTGCACCATTCCAGGCTATGCTGTGCCATGCTGGGCTGTACTGGACTGTGCTGTGCCAAGCCAGGCTGTGCTGTGCCCTGACGAGCTGTGCTGTGTCGTGCCCGTGCCGCGTTGTCCGCACAGCACCGTGCCCGTGCCGAGCCGAACCGAGCTCAGCCGGGGCAAAGCCGTGTCCGGGCGGGCGCGGTGAAGTCACCGCCGGAAGCGGGGCCGCCGCGCCGCCCCCGGCCCGCGTCACCCCACGGCCGGGGCGGGGCAGGGACGGGGACCGCGCTGAGCCGGGACCGGGGCAGGGCGCGGTAGACGCCGCGCCGAACCGAGCCGGACAGGAGCGCGATAGGGACCGGGCTGAGCCGAGCCGGGACCGGGACCGGGACCGCGACCGGGACCGGGCTGAACCGAGCGGGACGCCGATAGGAACCGGGCGAAGCTGAGCCGGGACTGAGAGTGGGACCGGGTGGAGCTGATCTGGGACTGAGACCGGGACCGGGCGGAGCCGAGTCAGGACTGAGACAGGGACCGCGCGGAGCCGAGCCGCGATAGGGACCGGGACCGAGCAGAGCCGAACCGGGCCAAGGGCCGGGCTGAGCGGAGCCGGGCCAAGGACCGGGAGCGGGCTGAGCCGAACCGGGAGCGGACCGAGCCGGGCCCCGGCCCGGGGGCCGGCCGGGCTGGCGCGGGGCCGGGTGTGCCCGTGTGCCCGCCGGCCCGGCGGGGCTGCGGGGCGGGCGGGCCGGGCCGTGCCCTCCGCCACCGCCGCCGTGCCCGTGGCCGGGCCGGGGGCCGGCGGGGCCGGGGGCTGCGGGGCGGCGGCGCTGGCCCTGCGGCGGGGCGGCGCGGGGGGTACGGGGGGCAGCACGGCCAGCAGCGGCTACTGCAGCCAGGAGGACTCCGACTCCGAGCCCGAGCTCTTCTACACCGCCCGCACCTCCCTCGGCCGTCGCCCGCGCCGCCGCCAGGTCGGTCCCGGGCCGTGACGTCAGGGGGGATACGGGTGACGTCATCGGGAGCGCATTCCTTCTACCTGGGTGCTGGGGAGCAGGCGAGGGTGGGCTCGGTGCTTGGGGAAAACTAGAGGTATGGGTGGTCTTTTCTTGAGGCGAGCTTGGCCCCGCCGTGGCACAGGAGTGGGGTCAAGCGCGGCCGTGCCGTGGGACACGGTGGCCCCGTCCGGTTGGATGTGGGGTGAGCGAGGCACCGTGGGGCGAGTGGGGTTTCGTTGCTTGGCACGGGCACCCCAAGGTCCCTCAGGGCTGAAGCTGCTCCCAGCTTTGGGGGTGCCGGCACAAACTCTCCGGGCAGCTTCACAGCTGTCCCCATCGTGCAGGGACCCTCGCAGGGTCCGGCAGTGCCTGCATGCTGTGGGGTGGACATGCATGTGTCGGGGCTGGAAACCCCTCGGTGCCGTGGGGACACGTGCAGCGCTGTGTGGCAGCTCCGCGTAAATACTCATTAGTGGTGGCAGGGACGCCGAGCCGGGACGCTCGGTCCCCCGTGTGCGGGGCCAGCACTTTGAAGTGGGATGCCGGCGGCAAGGGCGGGCTGCACCCCCAGCCCGGCCCTCCTGCCTCAAATCTCAGGGCGTCCCCGCGGGGGCAGAGCCTGCCCAGACGCCCTGGTGCCGGGCTGGCGGCTGCCGGCGCTCTGCCTTGGGGACGCCTCTCTGATCTGGGGTGCCGGGAGGGGACGCTCGGCTCCGGGTGTCCTCGCAGTGCGTTCACACGGCCGTGCAGCCCCAGGGACGGGCGCCTGGGGGGCGGCCGGTGCCGGTGTCTCCGGAGCAGGGCTGGGGCGGCGGTGAGCTCAGCTGTGCGTCCCGGCACAGCACAGCTCAGCGCCAGCCGGGCTGATGCAACCCCGCGCAACCGCCCGCGCATCTGCCGGGGCTGCGGGGTGGGCTGGGGGCCGCCGGGACACCGAGGCAGGCGGGACGGTCCCTCCCGATCTCAGTGGCGCTCAGCCTGGCTGCTGTTCACGCAGGATGAACCCAGCGAGTGGGAGAAGACAGAGCTGGACCAGGCGCAGGTGGAGCAGCGGATCAAGGAGTACAACAGCCAGATCAACAGCAACCTCTTCATGAGCCTGGTACGGGGTCGGCACAGGGCCGGGGGGGTCACGGTGCCCTGCCCCGACCCCACTCACCCCCCACCGGTGTCTCGTAGAACAAGGACGGCTCCTACACCGGCTTCATCAAGGTGCAGCTGAAGCTAGTTCGCCCTGTCTCAGTGCCGGCCACCAAGCGGGTCCCCTCCCTGCAGGCGGGGCGGCCGCACCCCCAGGGGGTGAAGCGCCGCACGTCCTTCTACCTGCCCAAGGGGACCGTCAAGCACCTGCACATCCTTTCGCACACCCGCGCCAGCGAGGTCATTGACGCCCTCCTCCGCA